GCTACAACTTTTGAAAATTTCAAGCAAGCACCCAAAAAATTGTGTTAATATGAAAAAAGAAAAAAAAATGAGAAAAAGAATGCTTGCTTGGAAAAGAAAAAAATAGTGAAAGAATAAGTTGTGAAATAAGAGTTGGGAAGGTTTGCAACTAAGAAACAAATGGAATGAAGTTGAGGTGTGTAAATAACGTGTTCGGTGAATGTCTCTTTTGCATCGGCAATTTCGTTTCAATGGCCTTAGAAATGTCCCTTGTTTGTAAATCCGACCAAACTACAACCTTAAAGACCTTAGTGATCTTCTTGCTTCCATATTTTCACTTTTGATTGTTAGATTTTGTATGAATTGAATTGATATTGACATTGTTTGTTAGTGGAGTGAAATTGTCCCCGCGGTTGCAAACGCGTAATTTCTTCAATCCTTATTCAAAGAGGAGAGATAGAGTGATTCATTCATGAAAAATATAGTTGTTGATTGATGCATGGCTTTATATTTGCTTTAAGAAGTTAGTTCTTTTACATTGTTTGATTCTAAACATCTGAAACCATGGCTTGTTGCATCACTATTAGCTTAAGAAAAACTTAATACACTTGCTTAACATGTTATGTAGTATTCTCATGGTGGGTTAACCCAATATAAATATTACTTATAATATTTATACATACGTGTTGATAACTCTTTATCCATGATTTTTGAGATGTGATTATAAATATATCTACATAATAGTCTCAATTTTTTAATGTCATACCGCTTCACAATAAAGCTCAACTATGTATACTTTAAGAATATTATCCTTATATTTAATATGATCTCGTGATTAAGTCATACTTAATGCTTCATTAAACCGGCATGCTATTCAAAGGAATTTATTATTATTGAAAAACAAACATAACAAATAAATGTCTTACTATTATTAATAAATAATTTGATACAAGTATCAAGTTCTAATAAAACTATTGGCCCTTAAGACTTACATAAATGTATAAATTGTGTATTGAAGACGATAATGTGCTCCTAAGGATCACTCTTTCTATTAAATGTCACCAGAGGAGCGACTTAAAATTTTATAGAGCTAAGGTGTCCTAGATCTTGGCAGAGAAAGATGTAACTGTCAATCGGATATATCTAACGCTCCCCGTTACTTGGCTAATCCATCAGCTAGCAATTTTTCTTCATAGTCAATGCAGGGATGTGCCCTGCGAAGCAGGTTCTTCAAATTATGGGTCTTCTTGCGCCCTAACTTCTCACAAAATGCACAATCCAGTCTAAGTCTTTTCTCAAAGATCCAACACTTTATGCTTTCATTTGAGGCTCTAACATCTACCACCGCCTTGGTGAAGCGGTCGATTTACGCCCGTAGGGTTTCCTTTTTACCTTGTGTAACTCTGTCGAGAATGATTATGATGGTTGGTTGTACTTTCTTGGCGGTGAAGTGGATGATAAAAGTCTCATATTGGTCAGACCAATAATTTATACTTCTATCTATGGGGACTTAAACTAGGTTTGAACAAACTAGGTTAAGGTTAGTACAAAGAGTTTTCACTTCACGTCTATGTTGACGTGATGGTAGTCTAGTCAGTCATCCACATGCTCAACATGCTTGTCTGGGTCAGCACTTTTGTTGTAACTCTAGAGCTTTGTAGGCTTTTCTAGAGAATTTGCGATTGCGTTGGGGCCTCTTCTTCATTCCTTTATCTTCTTCTTGGACAATGAAATTCAGGGGGAACATGGCCAACCTTTCCTCTTTCAAGATCATGTGAAGGAGTATGACCCATATGTTGTCAACAGTTTGGATATTTTATTACCTCTTTTAGGTCTTTTCTTGGCTCAGCGGCTTTATGCAAAGCCGCCTTCTACGCAGTGTTGTTCTTCAGGATAACGTTATGCAAGCTTTCTTTAATATGAGTTAATTCTTCCACAAAGGCTTGGGAGTTTTGTTGCTGAACCATCTAATACATGATGTTCAAAAATTCAGTAGCTCCTTATGGGCAAAGATTAGCCTACAAGAGTTGGAAACTGAGGAGTGACTTGCCCCTAATTATAGTAGGCAGTAATGAAAGCCTAAAGGAGAGTTCTTATAAGTGTAATTTTGGAGCGGATATGACGAATGAAAGAAATTAAGAAGTTCCTTGATTTTCCATATGTTGGGAAAAATTTGGCGGCAAAGGAACATAAAGAGTATTTATCGCAACTTGGTCGTCTATTCTTTGAAGATGAGGAATATGATTCTTATCCGCTTCGGTGGCTGCAGGTGCTTGTTGTTAAACAAAGGAACACGTGAATTTTAACGGTGCCATCGTCTGATGGATTTGGTAGAATGAGTTTGACTATGGACCTGGTGAAATTAGCTTGTAGATGTAGATTTGTGCTTCGATTGAAGGAGATCTAGATATGATCAACTCGAATAAAGAAACAGTAGATCATGGTAATCGTAGGAATCATTCCTGCATACTATGTCAATGTTTTGCTTTGGAACTAGATGATGATTAGAGAGGTTGAATTCACGGTGTATTGTGACGGTTCAGTACTTATAATGCAGTGGAGAAGGGGCTGACCTGGAAGATTAGTACTCTAACTCTCAAATATGTAAGGAAATAAGAAGTAAAATTTGAATGGAGAAGGATTTGTATACTTGAGAAATGGTGCGACCCCCCTTTTTAAATAGGGAAATTTGTTAGCAACTGAACGTGTGTGACGAGAGCATGAAATGCGGTCAACGCCAGATCGATCTGGACGACAAGGATAAACTTCGTGGGAGAGTTTACCTATTTGATAAAGAAATCCAGTCTACTTGTTCCACATGTTACCATTTATTTTTTACTATCTTTTAACTTTTATGTTTTTGGGTCTTGTGAACGGTCTAAAACAATCGTAATAATTAGTTCATTTGTCTAAATAATTGTATTTGACTTGTATTTATATTCAAAAAATGATAAATAAATAAAAAAGTACTTTTCATATATAAATAAAAAATAAATAATTTGAAAATAGTGCACATAATACTATTTAAAATGTATAAAAAATGATCAATTAAAATTATATAGATATTTCTATTTATATCATAAAAACATATATTAAAGAATTTAAAAAATATATATTAGAAACTAAAAACGACAAGTCTTTTGGATAATTTTTTATTTGTACATATTTTATGGGACAAAGAGGATAATTTTAGAACTGTATTCTTCACAAGTCACATACTTCAATTATCCACACAATTTGATATTAGAATTTCTTTCAAATTTGAATAAAGACAACTTACATGGTTGCTTTTTCTTTTCAATAATAATTAATTAGAGTCAAAGTCAATCACTTAACAATGTTTGAGTTCATATTTATTTATTAATTTTTTTCCGCATTTTATATATATATATATATATATATATATATATATATATATATATATATATATATATATATATATATATATATATATATATATATATATATATATATATATATATATATATATATATATATATATATATATATATATATATATATATATATATATATATATATATATATATATATATATATAAATTTAAAGAGTATTTAATTTGTTATTTTCTCAATTAAATCTGACATTTTACATATATTATCTTTATGTTCTTATTAATTTTTGTTTTGGAATTTTCTATCGTTTTTATTGAATTGAAAAAAAATTTAAATTTTTCAATAAAAAAATCAATGATTTTTGAAATTCTTTTTTGAAGAAATACTAGAATTTTTGAAATTTTTTTAACACTATAAAATATTTTAAAATTTCTGATAAACTATCACATTTTTTAAAACTTTAGAAAAACTACAAACACTTTTTAAAATTTACGGTAGTGTTAAATAAATTGTTTATTAAATATAAACTATCAAAATTTAAAAAAATAAAAAAATATAAGGCAAATATCAAATTTATCAAAAAATTTGGTATGATAATTTTTTCAAAAAAAATCAATAAAAATTCATATCGGCAATTTGAAAATAAATTAACGAAAATTTAGTTTGTTATTGAAAATTTTAAAATTAACTACCAGAAATTTTCTTCACACTTTTTTACTCTTATTTATCATGGACATGGACAGTTTGGACAAATATGTGGGGTATTGGATTTAATGGATAGGGTGGCAAATTAAATGTTTCAATTACAAAAATCTCAGATATAATTGAGATGGTGACAAATTAAATGCTTCAATTACAAAATCAATTCAAATGGATAGTTAAAATTGTTGATAACTGATAAAGATAGTTAATGTATTAATTCAACACAGAAGAATATCAAATAATATGTATTTAATTTATGTTATATACAATTGGTATAATTTAATTCAATTTTACACTAATTTTAATCAAATATATATATATCGATCCAGATCTATTTTGCAACACATGGGACCAATTCATCTAGTTGAGACAACATAGACAAAACCTTATTTATAACTTTGTACGAAATCCGTATTCATAGTTTCCAAATGTATACTCAAATAATTCTTTTACAGTAATATTTATAATTTTTTTTGAGATTTCTATGCTAAGGGAAAGATAGTGTTTTTCTTCACGCATCTATATTTAAATGTACTTACTATCTTAATCGCAAAGATAAAGAATTTCCACATTAACTTGTTTAATAAGCAATTAATTGCTCTCTCCTCAACCCAACCAATTTATTTTACATTAACTTATAGACTAATATTCGATTAAACATTCTACCCAAATTCCAAAACCATGCCGTGTAAAATACACATTAGTATTCATAAGCTAATAAAATCATAAAGAAACTTGTAACACTATACTCCCACTTAGGTAATCTGCCTCATCAACTTCTCATCCTCCAATCCAATCCCTTTCTTAAGACTCTTACTCCTCTCTACTTTAATTCCTTTTCCCATAATCACTTAACAAAATCAACTTTTCCTCAAAATAACATTTCTGTTCACCAAACCAACACCACCATGCACTTACACTCCATATAACTAACATACTTCAACCATGACCAAACCAACACCATCATGCATTTTCACATTCCTTATCTCTCAAACACCATGACCAATCTCAACTTCTCCTCCTCCTCCTCCTCCACGGCTTTCGCCGCCGACTTCAACATCAACATGATCTATTCCCTTACTCTGTTCATCTTCCAAAACATCCAAACTCTTGAAATTCTCATTGCTATTACCATCTTCATAATCATTCATTCTCTCAAGCAAAAGAATCGTCATGGTTTACCTATTTGGCCTTTTCTTGGCATGTTACCTTCTTTACTCAACGGCCTAAGAACCAATTTGTATGAATGGTTCTCTGATATCCTTAACAAACAAAACGGAACTTTTCATTTCAAAGGTCCTACATTCAGCAGCCTCCACTGCATAATCACTTCCGATCCTCGAAACCTCGAACACCTCCTCAAAACTAAGTTCGTTAACTTTCCTAAAGGAACTTACTTCAGAAGCACGCTAAGAGACTTACTCGGAGACGGTATATTCAACGCCGACGACGAAACATGGCAGAAACAAAGAAAAACAGCCAGCATTGAGTTTCACTCAACAAAGTTCAGGAGTTTAACTACTGATTCTTTATTTCAGCTTGTTCATTCAAGGCTTTTACCTGTTTTAGATGAATCGGTTAACAAAAGCGATGTCATAGATCTTCAAGACATTCTTTTAAGGTTAACTTTTGATAATGTTTGTATGATAGCTTTTGGTGTTGATCCAGGTTGTCTGAGTCAAAATCTTCCTGTTATTCCATTTGCAAAAGCCTTTGAAGATGCAACAGAAGCAACCATGTTCCGTTTCGTTATGCCGACGTGTGTTTGGAAGTTCATGAGGCTTTTCGACTTAGGCACCGAGAGAAAACTCAAGAAATCAATCCAAGATGTTGATGGATTTGCTATGAATGTCATAAGAACAAGAAAAAAGGAACTGTCTTTGGAATCTGAGGACAAGAAATCACATAAATCTGATTTGTTAACTGTTTTTATGAAGATGAAAAATGAGAATGGAATGGCTTATTCAGATAAGTTCCTGAGGGATATATGTGTGAACTTTATATTAGCCGGAAGAGACACTTCTTCTGTGGCTTTGACTTGGTTTTTCTGGCTGCTTGATATGAATCATGAAGTGGAGGAGAAGATTTTAGAAGAGATATGCAAAGTGGTGAGTCAGAGGAATGATAAATTCGAAGATTCTTTGATACTTAGGCCTGAAGAGATTAAAAAAATGGATTATTTGCATGCTTGTTTATCAGAAACTCTAAGATTATACCCTTCTGTTCCAGCGGATCACAAAGAGGTAGTAACTAACTAATGTTTATTTTTTCTTGTTTATATCTATTCATCATTTTCAAATATCAATTACATATATTCTGTAGCACAGACACATCTGAAAAAGACATGTCTGTGTTCATGTCAAATTATTGTCCGTATCAATGTATTAGCGTATTGTATCTGAAGTCTGGAATTGGATTCTTTTCCGCTCTAATTTTGTGATAAAAAAAAGAAATGTTAAAAGATGAGAGAGAGTAAAATGAGGAGAGAGATAGGAACAAAAAGGAAGCAGAGGAAGGGCTGCAGAGAAATGGCAGTAGATCCAAATTCTGATGTCTGTGTCTCTGTCTCCTAATGTTATGTTGAAACCATGCAAGAAGTATGAGTCAAAAGTACTACTACTCCTATCAAACTTTATTGGAAAACACCTACATAGAAAATCTCTAAATTAATTAGTACTAGAATAATCTCACACAAATCAAAGTCAAATATTAAATTCCCCTAGTGGCTCGAGGTTAAGAGCATTAATAACATAACTAAGATATTGTTTCTTTTTTTGTAGGTAGTTGAGGATGATAGATTCCCAGATGGAACAGTCCTAAAGAAAGGAACAAAAGTGATATATGCAATATATGCAATGGGAAGAATGGAAAGCATATGGGGAAAAGACTGCAGGGAGTTTAAGCCAGAAAGATGGTTAAAAGATGGAAAGTTTATGAGTGAATCTGCATACAAATTCACTGCATTTAATGGTGGACCTCGTTTATGTTTAGGCAAAGATTTTGCATATTATCAGATGAAATATGTTGCTGCTAGTATCATATATAGGTACCATGTGAAGGTTGTGGAGAATCACATTGTTGAGCCAAAGATTGCATTGACTATGTATATGAAACATGGAATCAAAGTTAGTCTTTGTAAGAGGGATGATGCAGAAATTGGAAAATACTTGGATTTGGTCATTGCTGAAAATTAGTTATGATGAATTGCTATAAGGACTAATGATGTAGTATTCTTTTTCTTTTCCTTCTTTCTTTCTTGTTTGGATCATATATAAAGGTTTTTATCATTAGAGATTTATTTATGTAGTAATAGTTTTTTTAGAAATAGGATTGAGTGAGTATAGTACTTGGAATGAAAGACTAAATAAGGATGTTGATTGTTGATTGGATATTTGGTAATTGAATTTATGAGTAGTGATCATGTACATTTCTTAAAAGGTGTGTATTGAGTAATAGTATAGACATTTCAATAACTATGATTTTATAGGTATAGAAATGTCTAATGAATAAAAAAATTTAAAAATGTGTTTTTATATTATTTATAGTGCTTGCTATCAAATGTTGTAAGTATAAACTAAGAATTCTATATACAAAAGTTACTATTTGTTGAAAAAATAATTTTTTAATTTTTAAAAAATACCCATAAGATATTTGTTAATATTTTCATTATTTAATTAAAAAACTATATTAATGGTTGTCTGAATTTCTTTTAGAAATGAGAATTTGAAATTTGTAGACAATAAGTATGAGACCCGTGACAAGTATCAAGATGGATGGAAAAATATTATACATAAAATATATGTATAAAATTTTAAACTAAAAAATTTACGCATATAAATTTAAGGTTTGTTCTTTGCACACTTATGGTGAAGAGCCATTCAATAAAAATTCAAAATTGTTCTTTCAAAATTTCTGAAATATATATTGCATTACATTTTTTTAAGTGAATTACACCCTCGTTTGCCATAAATTAGTTCAAAGATATATTTACATACCAAAATATGAAAATATACTTTAAGTAATTACCCTTTTAAGGAGTAAAGTTTGATATTTAAAAAAAAATACATTTTGTAATAAGTATACTAATTGTTCTGGACTGACAGGGGGCTCATAGTTGGGCAAGGTCCAATCTAGTCCAGCTTTAGATAAGGCCCAACAAAAAGATTAGCACAATCTAATCGTTAGGTATAATATGACTGTTGGGCACAATATAGTCGTTAAGGATAATATAGCCGTTAAAGCATTATAGTCGTTGGGGACCTCCCCCTCACGCGCTCCACAGTTCATGTGACCAACTGCCCCTCCGAAGTTCACGGAGACAGTTGGATCAAGTCGAAGATCACGCGCTAGAATATTTCTTGCTCCTTGCAAACCTGACAGTCTCTCATTGATGAACCAGATATCCTGCCCCACAATGAGAACCTTGGCCCCGCAATGTGGATTTCTTATAAATACCCTCTCATTTGAGAGGCCCGGGTATTCAATTCATTCAAACTCAAACCTAAACACTTTGTACTTGCTCTCTCTCCTCTGATTCTTACTTTAGCATCGGAGTGCCTTGCAGGTACACCCCCTCCTCTCCTACAATCATCATTGCTGCCCTACGCTGAAGGCCACAAGGATCCATTCTAATCATACCAGATCAGTGGCGCCATCTGTGGGAAACTCTGCTCCTACAACTTTCTTGAACCAAGATCCCGAATCTTTTCAATCCGAATACCAAATTTTTTCTTTCTAAACCTTCCTCGATCGTCATGACCTCTCACCATAAAAATGATGTCCCTCAAGAGTCTGTAATTGTTGTCGCCTTGGATAACAGCGATAACCCCAATCCTGGAGCTGTGGTCTACGAGATCGATCACATGGATGGAAAAATTGCCTCTCCATCCTCCGATAACGTTAAACCCCGCATCTAGAATTCCGACCAAATATACGAGCCCATCCTCGTTCCTTAAGATGCTGATCTTAGCACCGCGACTCTCATCGCCGCCATCAACAAATCTAATTACATGATTTTCCAGCAGGGCGAGAAGATCCACACATGGAAAACGCCCTTCAAGAACGACCTCCCTCACGGAAACCTCACAATCCTTCTCCCCGTTCTCGTTCTCCCCCTCAGAAACGTCGACAAAACGAGTCTCAAAGCGTTTCTCCAATCAAAGGGACAATCAAAATTGGAGAAACCAGGGCAAGAAATCACGAAGAAACGACATCGTACCTCTCCCCGAAGAACAAGACATTCTCCAGCTCCCAAGACCAGGGCTTCGGAGAAACCTCTTGAACGTCCAAGTCGGTGTAAACATTCTCCTCGACATAGCAGAAGCCCTCGTCATAACCGTTCCACATACAGATCGTCGTGCACCAGTGATGAAGACGATGTGCATGGGCCTATATCCCAAGAAATCATGGACATCTATATCCCTCGCGGGCTGGAGAAGCCTCCTCCTCTGACTTTCTACGATGGCACTACAGATCCCAGTGACTATATAGAGAACATTGAAGTTATACTTCATTATCAGAACGTAGGAAGAGCAATCAAGTGCAGACTGTTTCCCATCACCCTTAGAAAGGGAGCTATGACCTGGTACAAAAATCTTCCCCGGGGCTCGATCACATCGTGGTGGAACCTAAAAAATTAGTTTGTCTGATACTTCCTTGCCTCCAGGTGTCATCCCAAGTCGGAAGCAACGCTCAAAGGCATAATTCAGGGCAAGGATGACCCCATTCGTGCCTACATCGAGAGGTTTAACAAGGAAGCAGTCTAGATTCTCACGACCGACCACATGATGAAGTACCTCCTCGAAAAGGGGCTAAGGGACAAATAATAATTTCCGCAAAGAAGTGGCGATCGAAACACCACATTCTCTGGCCAAATTCCTCCATAAGGCCCAAGCTTACATCCAATATAAGGAAAAAGAAGCTGGTTACAAAGCCCGAGATTCAAGGAACCAAGAGAATTCCAAGGCGTTAAAAAAGGATGAGGCAGAAGCTCTCCGTGAACATAAATGACCTGTTGGTCGCTTTAATGATCATACCTTACTGACAGCTCCCCGCAAGTGCATCCTTTCTGAGTGCATCGACACTGAGTTCAAACAAGGAGGAGTCTGTTTCCCTAAACCAACAACGTCGAAGGGAAACACCGACCATAGCAAGTACTGTTGATTTCACCATAGTCATTGGCACATTACTGAATATTGTGTCCACTTGAAGGACGCAATCGAGATCCTCATCAAAGAGGGTCATCTGAAGCAATACACCAAAAGAGGCAAAGCTCATCAACGGGATGCATCTGAGCCAAAGAAAACAGAGACAAAAACATCGCCCTCTGACAGCCCTCCCCTACAGGTGGCCATGTGCGTCTCACGGCCATAAGACTTTTTCATTCCCGACTACCTCGAAGACCCTTCTTATTTCGCCACTCACAGTACATGGGAGTCCTTCCTTTCTGCCATGGTCATCTCTGGCGGGGGATACAACGAGCTCACCGTGGGCTCAGTGAAAAGGAAATTTGAGTAGCTGATAGATGCCAGTCCTAACCAACTGTCTACGCTCGAGAAATTTCGAGGACGTTCGTAACCCATCGCATTTTATTGCGAGGAGCTCCCTGGAGGATCTCCAAACTCGCATATCCTTCTGCTCATTAGGGTAAAATTCGCGCATACTGATGTTCGTTGTATCCTTGTCGGCCAAGGAAGCTCTGTGGATATTATGTAAAGCAGTTTATTTCGTGCCCTCAAGCTCGACTAGAAGAATTTGTCACCATATGTAGGTTCCGACCTCTAAGGGTTCAACGAGGCTACGACAAAACCATAGGGATATGCCGAGCTCTTGGTTACTTTTAGGGAGGGAGAGGCCTCGAAAACAATCAAGACACAATTCCTTATCATCGACTGTTTTTTCATGTACCAGTGCATTCTGGGTAGGCCGACCCTTGCTGAGTTGATTGTTGTGCTGTCCATAGTTCATCTAAAGATGAAGTACTATACAGAGAAGGGCCACGTCTCCACCCGACATGGAGATATTGAAGCTGCGAGAAGATGCTTTGAAGCATCCACTAATGGTCAGAACTTAATAGACGCAACATCAAAACATGTCCGCAAGCGAGCAAGGGATGAAAAACTTCCCACCGAATGCCAATTCGAAAAGAAACATGCAGTACATGTTAATTCCATCGACCTTAATTGTCGTTTGTCCAAAGAATGCGAGGAAGATTGTGAAGCAATGACCAGTAGTTCACCGGCTTCAAGCACGCCTCTCCTTTTACGCCCCATCCCCGACGGGGACTTTAAGGTTATCACGTTCGGGGACGATCCTAACATAGGAGTAAAAATAGGTGTTGGACTGCCTGATAAGGTGAAGGAATAACTAAAATCCTACTTGAAAAAAAACACAAACTTATTTGTCTGGAGCGCCGCAGAGATGCTCGGACTCGATCCTGAAATAGCATGCCATCAGCTCACAATTGATCCCTTTGCTCAAGCAGTGGTGTAACACAGACGCAAACAATCTGACGAGAAGGCCGAAGCTGCAAAAAAACTTATAAAAGACCTCCTAGAGGCAAGATTTATTTTGGAGGCCAGATACACCACCTGGATTTCTAACATTGTACTTGTGAAAAAACATAATGGAAATTGGAGAATGCGTGTCGATTATACATATATTAACAGGACGTGTCTTAAGGACGTGTATCCCCTTCCCAGTGTTGATAAGTTAGTAGATAATTCTGCCAGTTTCAAACTCTTGTTTTTCATGGATGCATACTCGGGATATAACCAAATTCCCATGGCAGAAAAGGATAAGATATACACCGCTTTCACGACCTCGTCGGGCAACTATTACTACAACGTAATGCCCTTCAGTTTGAAAAATGTTGGGGCCACGTACTAGCGAATGATGAACAAGGTCTTTCGATCAGTAATCGGCGACATGCTTGAAGTATACATGGACGACATGATCGTGAAATCCCAAGAGGAATTCGATCATACGCTCCACTTGTAAAAAGTCTTCAACTAAGCAAGGAAGTGCAAAATGCAATTTAACCCAGAGAAATGCACATTTGGCGTGCAAGAAGGGAAGTACCTCGGCTTCTACCTCACAGACAGGGGGATCAAGGCCAACCCCTACAAATGTTGAGCATCTTCTGAGTTCCCCGCGTCAAATTCGAAGAACTCCATACAATCCCTCAGTGGGATGC